CTTATTTGCATGAAGACTGTATAGTCTATATTTTTGTTCGCATCCGACCTTACGGTAAATAGTTACTTTTATTCCTCTATTGCAGGGCTACTCAACAAGTGGGCTGCGGCCTGTTTGTTTGCGGCCCGTGGATGGGAGCCAAAACAAAAAAAGTAGTGAATATAATGGTCTTCTGTTGATGTGTGTTTTAGTAGTTAAATTCCTGGACTGTCACTGCTCAAAGTGCTGGCATATAGGTGGAAATTGGGTAAATGTTACATTTTATTAATATCAGCCGAACTGACTTAAATGGGCCTGCGTGTTGTGTAATCTTGTCTTAGTCTTTGTATTCATACCCATCAGTGTGAAAAACTATTTGCATCTATATTTGCATGTATGTTCCACCACACTTAAGTTGCGGCCCTCGGCATGTGCTGTATCATTGTGGCCCCCAGGGCTTCCAAAGCTGAGTAGCCCTACTCTACTGTATAAGACACCCCTCTGGTTTCCTCAGGAACTAATTATCTCCTGAGGTGTTAAGTGAGGAGGCTGCTTCCCAGCCCACCCCTTGCAGATATCCTGCTGATGCACCTTAATGGGCTTTTAAACATTTCCCGTGCTGGACTCCTGCACAGCGACTCAGGGATGTGGCACAAGCTAGATTTTTAACTCGCCTGGTTTGCTAGGACACATCTAGAGATCATCCCAGCTACAGTTTTGTTAGTTCAAAAAAAAATAAAAGTATCTGAAGAAAGAGAACGCTTCTCATTCCATAGCTTCCTGCCTGAATGGGCCACAGAACGAGTTCGAGAGGGAACAAGCGCACAAAGCCATGCCAAAGCAGCTCTTATTGCCACATTACACTGCAAAGGCGTCGTCTCATGTGCTTTCCGTTCTCATCCGTCACCAGCTCTTTCCATCACTGGTTTTCCCTCCCACTGACTCACCTGCTCTGGATTGTTACTCTAGGCTGCATTGTTTTCTTACTCATTTTGTTGTATTTCTGCACATCTCACTGTATAGTATTTCCCTTCCATCACTAGTACCAGCAGAACTTCTTTGCTTAAAGATCCCCTTCAAACTGACTTGGAATGCGGCTTCCTTCCCGTTTCAGATTGCTAGCAAGGATGTAAAATGCAGCCTGGACATCACACCAACGGGTGCAGTGCCTAGCCACAAGTGTAATGTACCTCAAGAAATGTGGGGAGGAGAAGACCATCCTTTCTCCCTCCTACAGAAATGTAACACCAACCTCTCTGCAAACAGCAGCAATCTGGGCCTCATCCATGCATGTTTCTGTGACCACGTCCGTGAGCGACCCTCCGGCAAGGTACTCCATCACAACGAACAATTCGTCACCCACCAGATAACTGAAGCCAGAAAAGACAGAAAATAAGCTTATCTGCCAGCCGTGCAAGTCAGGACTGAAAACGACTGACAGTGTATTGCAGTGTATGAAAACGACTGACAGTGTATTGTTCAAGGGAACACTTCAGAATAGGCCTGACAAAACTCACCTGAGGGTATTTAAAAAAGCAGCTGAAGCAATCATGGACACATTAGCAATAAATGAATTCATGGAGGACTGAAGAAGGGCAAAATTAACACCTCTCTTTACAAAGAGGAACAAAGACAACCTGGGAAATTCTAAACCAGTCAGCTTCCGACAGTTCCAAGCGACAGTCTCATAAGCAAACCAGAGAAATGCAGTCTATCAAATCATTAAGGTGAGGGGTGTTTGAAACACTGTACTTGGGCGTTATCAACAGTTCGCTGTCAAGTTGGGAGGATGCATCTCATGGGGTCTGACTACGTGTGTGCAAGCTTCGCGGACCCGCCTGCCTCGCCCTTGCTGCCTACTGCCTATCAGAGGCAGTAGAGAGGGCGGGGAGGCTCCTCTGGCATCCCATGGAGTAGCTTCCGTCTGCAGCGAGCCTGGGCCCACCACAGACAGAGGCTGCTCCGCATCCCACAGAGCAGCCTCTATCCACAGCGAACCTGAGCCCACCGCAGACAGTCTGCCCCACAGCAGCAGTCCCTGTCTGCGGGGAGCTCAGTCACCCTGTGGACAGGGGCTGCTGCCACCCCATGCTACTGTCTCTGTAACAGAGGCAGCAGTGCAGAGTGGCAGAATCGAGCTGGTCCATGCAGGGAGCTGATTTTTAAACCAACTCTTGCCTGCCACCCCATGCTGCTGCCTTTGATAGGAAGGGAACTGCAGGGGGTGACAGGTGACCCCCCGGGAGTGGGACCAGGAGCATACAGGTTGCCAGCCCCACCTCCAGGGATTACTGAATAGTTGTGTAATCGCTAACATTTCATGTGGTTCCACTATTCAATTACATGCTACGTAGCATTCCTAGTGGAGAAAATCCACAATAGAGTAACAAAAGGGGTCAGATATTTAGAAAATCTAACCTAGGAGGAAAGGCAAAATATGGGGCATGTTTAATCTTGAGAAAACAGGACTGAAGGGGGAACCTGATAACAGTATCAAATTAGGGATGGTTACCCTGGTAAGCATCCGGTAAGGCAATGTTTACCGGGTAACCAGTTACCCCCTTTGCATCCCGACTTCAGTTGTTAAGGCTATAATAAAGCCTTGTTCTCCATGTCCAATGAAAGCAGGACAAGCAGCAAGGGACTTCATCTATAACCAGGGAGATTTAGGTTAGATATGAGGAAAGCATTCTAGCTCTAAGGACAGTAAACATTGCATTAGGTTTCTAAGGGAGATGATGTAATTCCTGTAGTTGGAGATTTTTAAGAACAGTTTAAACACGTCAGGTATGGTGTATTTGGTCCTGCCTCAGTACAGGGAGACGGACTATATGAGGTCCCTTTCAGCCCTATATTTCTAGGAGTTTAGATTAATTAGGAAAAAAAGTATTTAGGGAGCCAGACTAGATTTAGAAGTTCGGGCCAAGCTTCTTTTATGAAAATGACAGAAGGTCTTTGTTGTTATCCTGACTCAGTCAATTTTACATCCAAAGCAGCCCCTCCAGCAGCACAGGGCTCCCAAGCTACCAAATCAGAAAGAATGCTACTTACTGACTCACCAGCATTACAGCCAGCAACATATCTGGCTGTGTCTTGGCGATGTCTTAACCCAAATCCTCACTGTACTGTCTGAGCGCATGCCCCACAGAGGCCAGGGGGTCGGCAGCCAAGGGGCTAGCTCAACCTGCTGCCCACGCTACTCACCATGCACTATTTTTAGAATGCTGTCTACCCCAGCTGGAAAGTGTGCTCCAAGCTGCAGTGCAGACACCCACTGTGACGCCAGCTTAGAATCCTGGCTCCTGGGAGAAGGAAGATTAACTGTTCATCTCCATTTACCTGTCTAAGAAGTTGACTATGTTGGGATTCTTTAACTCTTTCATTACCAGGATCTCATTAATAATCAACTCCTTCTTGGGCTGCTTCTGCAGGTTTATCTGTTTGATAGCAACCTGAGGAGAACCAGGGAAAAAGTAAAATACAAGATGAAGCATTAGTCTCACAAACCACTGCCATGCTAAAAGCCATTTATAATATTACAGTAAACATTAAGTGGGTGATTAGGACAGAGGAAAAACAACGGGGAGTCCTGTGGCATAAGCTTTCGTTGACAAGGCATCTGATGAAGTGAGTCTTCTTCCAGGAAAGCTTATGCCCAGATAAATCCATTAAGTCTTTGAAGTGCCCGAGGATTCCTTGTTTTTGCAGATTCAGATGAATATGGCTCCCCTCTGATACTCAGGACAAAGGACTGGGCGAGGCACGTGGGTTAGTAACAGCAAAGGATGCTCTGTCAAACTGGCTGTAGGCTATGTACAAGGTGGGACTGGAGCTGTAGGTTTTTTTAAATATAGGGAGTCAATAAGATGGCAGTACGACTGTTCCAGAGAGTGAGCCAGGTTTAGACAAATACTCCAGAAAGTCAGTGCTGGCGCAAGCAGGAGTAGCAGGTTGCATCAGGGAAGCAAAGGAGAGGCTTATGGCAAGAAAAGAACAGGTAACTGTGAGATGATGGGAGAGGCACAGGAGACCTGTGTTATCTTACATCTTCTTACATCCTCCTGTTAATTGCATTTCCTGCTGTTCATTCCCCTTCCATCAGCAGTTACCCCAAATTATGAATATGCCATTTACACCACAGTTAACATCACCCCCCACAGCCTATGCTATGCAGTGCCAGAGAGACAGTCACTGCCAACACTGTGCAGACCAGGAGGGATCAGAGTCAAGAGAGATGCCATTAAGGGGCTTGAAGAGATGTGATTTTGTAGTGAACAGAAGCGACAGCCAGCACAGGGGTTTCCGGACAAGGCAACGGAATTGTTTCTCTCTGTTTTGTTCCGAACAGACTAGCATTTGGATAAAAGCATGTTGGTGAGGCAAAAGGAACTGCAAAAGGACCGGAACAGTTTCAATAAAGCGAGTGATGAAGGAAAGGCAGACACACTGGTAAACAGGCGAGAGATAAACTTCGACAGCATTATGGCCAGAGTCTGAAAAGAAGATCAGGACTGAGAAAAGGAGAGGAATGAGTTGGACCATAAATAAACATGGCATTCTCCTGGCCAAGAAGAACCATGTCCACCTGTGAGTTGGCCGTGGATTAATTAAGACAGATGGAGGGGGAATGGTCTGCCGTGTCCTCACCCCTAGAGCTAAAATAAGATGGAAGCAGCCTATTGTCTAAAGCATTCAAAGGACACCACACCCCACAGTGTGAAATGTGCAGCAAAAGGAGCAACGAGGAAGCCACATGAAAGATGGCTTCCCCGCTGGAGGGAGGAATGACACATATTGGATCAATGAGGTTGGACACCAGCGCTTTTGTGGGAACTCCGCAGAGGGTCAGTAGTGAGTGTTACTGGAAAGGGCAGGGAAAGTTGACAAAGTGGAAGTAGCAGCAAGTGGGTGAGGGACTAAATCGGCAACATTAGAGAGTGAGTCTGGAGATTATAGAATATCAACAGTGTCAATTTCATTTCTATTTTATTCACAATGAAACATAACAATGCTGCATACTTTGGTGTACCAGAAAGTGTGTACACTTGAAGGATTTGAGCTATTCTTGTCCCATGAGTTCCTGAGACACAGGCAATGGAAATCGCTTTGATAGGGTAAGGTTGGTTGGGAGATGTACAGCAAAGTAGCCGTCTTGAACAAGAAGCAAGGAAGGGCTAGAAAAACAGAGGGTAGGTATGGGATTCTTTATAGATGGAGGAGCACAAAGTGCTTCGTGTATGACAGGTAAAGGAAAGTACAGGGAAAACGTTACTTATTGCATCCCAGACATGGCTACTCTGACGCAGGAGAGGTAGAAAAGAGGAAGAAGCTAATAGCTATGAAGGTGAGAACAATTCAGCTATTATCAAAATGAAATTCAGTGCCCAAGGAGGTGGTGGCAGGAGAGCCTCATTAAGCTAATGGATAAATAATTAAAGAAAAGATGCTTTAGAAAGCAGCTGACAATTGTGAATGTTAGACATAGGGGACTCGTGGAGTAACAGATGTTCAAAGGAAAACACCAAAGCAAACAGGATGGTGAATGCTCAATGAACAATTTGTAGATGACAATGAAGCCACCACATCTTCACGGCTGTCTGAGTGCAATCAATGGGAAGAGCCTAGGAGCCGGATATGGAGAAGGTCGCTTAATTAAAACACATGGAAATTGCTTCTCATCAAACAATTCCCTATGGGCGAGACTATTATGGTCACAGATGAAGCTATGTAGAAGGCACAGACATAAAAGTTAGAAACGGAAGTGAGCTAAAAGAGGTCTAATGATGGCTAAATGCAAAATTACTGGTGCGAATTCCAGACAGTATTGCCCGTCACACGTAAAGGTTAAACAGTTCGCAAACCCCTCTAGGGATATTAAATATCGGTTAATTGAACAGCTGGGCAAACTCATGAGTTATCGGTTAATCAACTAGTCTACAGTCCCGGGGGCAGGCCCAGCAGCCTGAGGAGCCCCGACACTCTGTGCTGCTGCCTCTGTATCAGGGACAGCAGCACAGGGTGGCATATGGGAGCGGGACTGCGAGGGCAGCCAGTTTTAAAACCAGCTCCCCTCGTTGACTGGCTGCCTCTCGGCCTGTGCTGCTACCTCTGATAGAGACAGCAGCCCCTGTCTGGGGGGTGATCGGAGCTCCCGGGCCTGAGGTGAGCTGGAATTGAGCCAAGCTACCTGCCCACCTGGGCCCTAATACACTTTCAATGCAGAGCCGCAGCAGGGGTAGGTCCTGGACCCAGCGTGAGCCAGAACTGAGCTGGCTGCTGACCAGCCTACTCAAAAAATGTACTGGTGGGCTGGGGGAAGGAAATGCGTGTCGTCTATGGCGTTAACCTATAAGCTTTTGCTTATTAGTTAACTGGTTAATCAACTGTACCATTACATCCCTAAGCCCCACAGCTCCAATGCAAAGGGATATGTTCATTTGAAAAACAAACCCCTCTTTTTAGTGTTGATCATCTGGCTGCTACAAAACAAGGAATGCACTGGTAGAAATGGCTACGACAAATGCCCTGAGATGGGAGCCACTGGCCAAAACCTATGCAGTTCACTTCCATCATCCTTAAGAGCAGATTAACATGGAAAATATTCACTCAGAGCGCACAGAGCCTACCTCTTGTCCTGTTGCCACGTCAATGGCTGTGAAAACTGTACCTGAAGCCCTGTGAATACAAGGCATGTGATCAGCAACAAGATTTCAAATCTAACAAGCATACACATGCACAGACAGAACACAGGCAGATTTTTTTTAAAGTTTTGCACACCTAAAAGAACAGTCAAAACCTGCACACTGATAAAGAAAACTGACGTTTTGATTGTCTAAAAGCTGCTACCTAATAATTTCATCAGCAGGTCCCTGGCTTTTGTCTTCTGTCAAAGGGTAAACACACACTTCTCAAGGCACATTCTCCACATCATTCATCATGACATTATAGGTCTTTGTCCTTATATCCATGAACATCTCTGCTGCCCTTCTCTGAACCCCTCTCAGCTCCACCATATTTCTTTCTGGCAACCAGAACCGAACGAAGCATTCAAGGTGGAGGCACAACACTGGATTAATACAGTGAAATTCTGATATTTTCCTCTTTCCTAATTGTTCCCTATGTGGCTAGCCTTTTTGATAGTCACTGTACATTGAGCAGAATTCTACAGGGTTTTAGCCATGGTGACTGCAAGAGCTCCTTCTTAGGGGGTAACAGCTAATCAGACTTCATCATGTATGTAAAATATGTACACACACACATAGCTGAGATTATTTTTTTCTCCACATGCCAATTTGTTGCCCGGTCATCCAGTTTTAAGAGATTCCCTCTAACTCAGGGTACTCAAACTCATTGACCGTCTGGCCCAGAGTCCCTACAGCCCAGGTGTGTGTATCCATCTCCATCCTTATTCCAAAGCCCTGCCTCTTCCAGCTCCTCTTCACCACAGATCCTGCCACCCAGCATACAACTAACCTATGGAACTCACTGCCATGGCATGCTGGAACAGCCAAAAGTATAACTAGGTAAACCAATGAACTGTGTTAGGTGCACAGAGGTTAAGGCTATCATTGTCTATCAGCCAAAATGGTCAGGAGTGCTCTAACCCTCTGGCCACCAGAAGCTGGGGGTGGACGGGAGAGAGAGGAGCCCTGTCCTGCACTCTT